AAAAAATTAATAAATAGTAGAAATAAAAAGTTATTAAAATTACAATATAGAAATTCAAAAATTTAAGATAAAAAGACAAAAAATATACTTAAAAAATTATTAAAATTAAAATATAAAAATTCAAAAATTTTAAGTGAAAAGATAAAAATATACTTAAAAAATTATTAAAATTAAACTATTTAAATATATAATAATATTATTACAAATAAATTAGAATATATAAAATAAAAATAAAATGACTAAATAATTTAAAAATTGAAAGGATAAAATATTATAAATATTATTTAAATAAATTTCTAAAAATATAAAATATAAAAAACTGTACCGGTACCCTCTCAAATAAGATGGGTACCATAGAATTTCTCTTTTAATATATATGGTCGTTTAGCCTTCTTCTTCTGCTTTCTCTTTCTCTTTCTTCTTATTCTTCTCTCTCTTCCATTGTAATCTGTGTTCTGTTCTCACCGTTCTCTCTCTTCCATTCATTCATCTGAGTCTCTTTAAATAGTCTCTCTATCTTCCAACCGAAAAATATTATCTTTTTAAGGATATCCGCACCGTGCTTCTCGCCCTTCTGTCTTTCTCACACCAAAAATCTCTCTTTTTCTGATTTTTTTTTCACCGCCCTGAAATCTAGAAACAAGCCGCAAAAATAATCAATACCCAGAATTTTTTTCGCTGAAATACTTTGTGGGGTTTAGTTGTTTTTCGGTTTTTTTTTTCTTCTTTAATTCTTCAATTTCGTATTTGAAGAGACATGCAAAGCTGAATTTTTATATATAATAATATATAAAGCTGGGTTTCTTCGGTATCTTGAGGATCTGCTGCGTTTTGCTGTATTCAGTGGATTGTGTTGAGGGGTTTTGAGAATTTTTGTTCAAGTTGAAAAAGCTGAGATTTTTTGTTTAAAGTTCTGCTACCATGGATGCTCAATTACAAAAATGTAATCCCTCTGTTTTTTTTTACTTAGTTTGTTTTTGTTTATTTATGGGCGTTATTCATGGTTTATATATATATATATATATATATATATATATATTTTTTTTTTTTTTTTTTTTTTTTTTTTTTTTTCCCTGGGGAGAG